GACAGCAGCGAATCTCGAAAGGCGTCCATGCTCAGTGTCGCCAACACTGGCAGAGAACGTTAGCCAGTGGCACCTGGGTCGGGGTGCGAACATACTCCCCCTTGTGATACATAGTGTATCACAACTTAATACTTGAGCTGGTTTGTACATAGAAAGTGGAACAAGCGATCTGCTGGACTGGAACTGAACGAATCAGGCCGTGGCCGAACTGGACTGTAACTGAACTGGAGCTGTAGTTGATGTTGATAGGACTGATCTTGAGCAGTTAGATAAGGGATAATACAATTTTTTTTTTTTTTTTACTACTTGAGCAATTCCTTTTATAACAAAAATGACTATTATCACATAACAAATAACAAAATGAATTAACAAACAAAAAAAATAAATAATAATAAAAACTAATAATATAATGCGATTACCCATAATGCAATGTGAAGTTATAGGAGCCAACACTCTGTACACAAAGGGCCGTCAACGTAGTAGCACTTTACATACCGCAATCATATCATTGTCATAAAAATAGCATATAGAGGGAAGAAAAGAAAAAAAAAAAAATAATAATAATAATAAAATAAAATATGTTTATTGAGTAGGAAGTGGAACCAGCTTCACTACTGGTCTTATTATTAGGCCTTGCTTGGTGAGTATTTTTACTACTCTAACCACACTGTCTGGGCCTGGTAGGAGCTCTCGGACGCGACCTAATTTCCATAGTAAAGGAGAAGAAGTGTTGTCCTTGATAATAACTAACTCCCCCAATTTAATGTTTTCTTGGTTAACTACCCATCGTCCCTTGGTCTGTAGGGTGTGTAAATACTCGTTAGACCAACGACTCCAAAATGCCTGAAATACCTGATGAAGAAGCTTCCAACGGTTTCTAAGGTGTATCGAACTGATAGGGACCTCAGCTTCAGGCACAGCACACAAGGGTCGACCAACAAGAAAATGACCTGGGGAAAGGTATTCTAGGTCGCTTGGGTCATTGGACGATGGTGTTAGTGGTCTTGAGTTAAGCACCGACTCTATCCTGCACAAAACTGTCGAGAACTCCTCATAAGACAAAACCTGGTTGCCAACCACCCGTACTAACAAGAGCTTTGTAGAACGGACCGCTGCTTCCCAGAGCCCACCAAAATGAGGTGCACTGGGGGGATTAAAATTCCATGAACACACAATCGCTGAGCTGAACCGCTCGCGATTCCTTGGATCATTCACTAGATCATATAGTCTTTTCGATGCACCTACAAAATTGGTATCACAGTCTGAATATACTGCGGATGGCAATCCCCGTCGAGCTACAAAGCGGTTGAATGCCGCCAGGAAGGCATCAGTTGACAGATCAGTCACAAGCTCAAGGTGAACTGCCTTGACACTCATGCAAACAAAAACGGCAATATAAACTTTATATTGTCGGGCCTTTCGCAGATTAGTCTCCTTCATCATAAGGGGACCAGCATAATCTATGCCCACATTAGAAAATGGATGGCATTGCTGAACTCTAAAGTCAGGTAGATCAGACATGACCGGCTGCAGGTTACGAGCTGATAACCTGACACACACCGTACATTCACTAATTGCGCGACGAATAACAGAGCGATCACCCACTATCCAGAACTGTCTACATATTAAAGCTGACATGAGACGTGGACCTGCATGACAAGCAAACAGATGCCAATGTCGAGCAATTAGTAATGACAAATATGATGCCTTTGACAGCAGAACTGGGAACTTGCGTCGATCTGATAGCAAGGAATGACGAAGACGACCTCCTACCCGGATGACACCACAGTCATCGATGAACGGCGACAAACGTGCAAGTGGCCGAGAGGAGACAGCCTTACCAGACGATAACTCAAGAAACAAGGATTTCAAGAACACACCTTGTGAACACTTGATAACAGCTGTCAATGCATCATTATACTCCTGGTATGAAAGGAAACTAGTGTCTACTGGGACCTTGCGACACAATTTAATAAGACGTTGTAAACGAATAATAACTCTCAACATACGATTTAGAGACGAGAAGCGAGAGAACCACTCAATCGGCTCTCCTGTAGTTTCAACAACACAAGACACAGGACCTGTGACCTCAGGCAACTGGTCTGAGGGAATCAAATTAACTTCTGATGACCAACTCTCACCGAACTGGTGGAGGAAGGTAGGACCTTTCCAATAAAGATCATGCTGAGCTAGCTCACCAGGTCGTAAACTTCGAGAGGCACAATCTGCTGGGTTCATATCAGTGCTAACATAAAACCAACTACAAGACGGTAACAATTCATTTATCTTATGAATACGGTTAGATACAAAAATCTTATACGAAACATGGGGGGTTTTTAACCAAGATAGCACTACTGACGAGTCAGACCAAGCAAAAACGTTTTGGATAGTTATCTGAGTCGAGAGAGTGATCTGGATGCGACTTAACCAACGAGCGAGCAATCCGGCTCCACAGAGCTCAAGGCGAGGAATAGACATGGCTTTGGTTGGTGCCAGTTTGGTCTTACTACCTAGCAAGAACATAGAGACCCTACGGTGGCGATCTGACACTCTTAAATAAACCACAGCCGCATAGCCTTTGATAGAAGCATCAGAGAACCCACATAATTCATATTGTGACCCTTCAGAGGTACCAACAAACCTTGGTACTTGAATCGTGGATAAATAATGTAACTCATTAACAAAGGACATCCAAGAATATTCTAGTTCCAACGGAAGCCGATCATCCCATGAAACACCAGACCGCCAAACACATTGCAACTGATGCTTAGCATGAAAAATTACAGGGGATAAAAAACCAAGTGGATCATAGATCCGCGCAATCACCGACAACATACTTCGTTTGGATGAAACAAACTTGACTGAACTGACATTGTAGTTGAATGTGTCGACATCAGGACTCCACTTCATACCTAAAATTTGAACTTGAGGCGACTTTTCAATGTTGAATGGGAGAGAACCAACTGCTCTATCTTCCGAAGGTTTGTTTTCCAACAGCTGAGGAGAATTACTAGCCCATTTCTTTAACTCTAGGCCGAACTGGCTGAGAATAGAAATCAAATCATCTTTAAGGGCTTGGGCTTCCTGGATGCTATCTGCCCCAGTACAAATGTCGTCCATATAAGTTTGATACATAAGAGCTGTCTGTACCAGAGGATATTGTTGACCATAGACAACCGCTATTTCCTTCAACACCCTCAGTGCTAGGTAGGGAGCTGTCCCAACACCATAGGTGACCGTGTTCAACTCAAACTCTTGAACTTTGTCGTGAAGAGACGCTCTCCACAGAATATGCTGGTACTGACGGTACTTAGGAGCTATCAAAATCTGCCGGTACATTTTACAAATGTCAGCTGTAAAGACAACTGCGTGGATACGAAAACGAAGTAGTATGTCCATTATGTCCTGTTGGAGCTTAGGACCAACAAATAAAGCATCATTAAGAGAGGTGTTTGAAGAAGGTCGAGCTGACGCGTCAAATACTACCCGGAGCTTCATGTTGTCCCCTTCTATCTTGTGAACTGCATGGTGAGGGATAAAATATGAACCAGGAGACTTAGCAAGTGACATATGACCGAGGGATTCATAATCCGCCATAAACTGCTGGTAAGCCAAATATAAGGGTTTATTCTGAATCAATTTACGTTCTAGACGTTCAAAGCGAACAAGTGCCAACCGGCGGGAACCATGAAAAACAAATGATGTAGGTGGGGTACGAAAAGGAAGCGGCACCACAAATCTGCCAGAACTGTCACGGTAAGTTTCCTGAGCGAATATTTCTTCACACCTTCCTTCTTCAGTGAATGATAGTGGCGCCTCATCAGGTTCTTCGATCTTCCAAAATCTCTCAACTAGAGATTCAATCGAAGTTGTTAATAGGGAAATCATCATAGTCTGTTGCGGAGCTGCTGGTAGAGATGGATCAACTGGACCAAGAAGAATCCAACCGAAAATAGTATCAAAGGCAGTAGGTAATCCAACACCTAAGTCATGTCTTCTGCTGCGGATCACTTGAGGAAATATATCTGCACCTAGCAGCAATTCAACCGGAGCTGGTGAATCAAAATTAGGATCTGCCAAAACTAGATGAGAACACTTGTTCCTGACGGAGACCGGTAGTTGTGCCGATGGCATTGACCCTGTTATTTTAGGCATAGTCCAAGTAGAAAGGTTGATCACGTTGCCATCCATAGCCGATTGGATGCTGATCTGCACTCTGCCATTGATGGACTGCACTAACTGACCTGCTAGACCAGCTACTGGGACTGTCCACTGTTCACAGAATAGACCTAGACGCTTAGCACACTCAGAGGTCATTAGACTCACTTGGGACGCGGGGTCAATCAAAGCCCTAACTGGTTGCGAGCACCCAGCTACATCACGAACATTGACAGAGGCGGTGCCCAACAAGACCGATCTGGAATGTTGAGTGCCAATATACGATGCAACAGGATCCTTGCTTGGCGCTATCTTGGCATGGAGATTATCTCGATGTAACAGCTGGTGATGACGACCGTGACAAACAGAACATGAGGACTTACATTTGTTTGCCCAATGATTGCTACCGAAACAAACCATACACAACCTATGCTTGCTCTCTAAAACGTAGCGATCATCGATAGACAAGCCCTTAAAGGTAGAGCATGACGATAAAGAATGCGAACCGTTACACTGTTCACAACGATGAGACTCTCCAGCTGGTTTGTTAGCAACTAACGCCACTGGCGAACCTTGATGGCTTCGAGGGGCCTTAGAGCCCGATTGGCTTGGCTTGGAATTTGTATGCTTAGGTTTATTGAAGACAAGCTTTGCTTGAGGCTTAACTGTGGCCTGGATCAAAGATGAACCAGAGTTTTCCAACACCTCTACCCTATCTTTGGCAAAGTATAATAAGCTATCAACAGTAGGAAAATCAGCAGTGTTCCCCTGTTCAAACAGACGGCGTGTAGTTGAAGGCAAACAACGAACTGATATTGCAAATAACAGGAATGAACCTAAATCAGGTATATTCAATGACTGAAGAAGAGCTATGTTCTCACATAAGGTATTTAAAAAATTAATTAATACTGCGGGAGATTCCTGATGGTTAATTGGAGCATTGAGCATTTCATTAACCAAAGTAGTAGCCAACTGACGGGGTTTATCATACCTTTGAACTAAGGCAGACCAAGCAAGTTCATAAGTGCTTTCAGAAACTGTAATACCCTT